GGGCATACCTCATCAACAAGAGTACCTGCATAATGAACATTTGTATACCTAACCCTGAATGGTACCCCACATCTTTAAAATAAATAAATAAATAAATATATAAAAACTGCTGAACACTCAGTATGGTGTGGACAGGTATACTTGTAAATTCACCCATCATGAAATGGGCAAATGTGTTGAAAGAATTTCCAACAAAAAAGAAAATTAACTGAAATGAAACAAAGCCTCTCACAACAACACTAGTTGGTATAATAAAGCAAATGGGTTCCTGGAACACTTACATAGTGGGGGAAACCTGTCCAACAAAGGTCCTGCCCTCCAAAAGAGAATTCCCATTTTTTTGAGGGTCCCTCCTCATATACACATATAAAGCATCCTCCACCTGTACACTTGAGATGTATGTACTTTATTGTGTAAAAAGTATGCTTTGATTTTTGAAAAGTAATCTTTGGGCTCCATGGACATGTGTATCCCTTTTCATCTGGGATCATGCACAAGTTAGGAATTTCAGATGGGAGAATGTTTTAGCCTGGTTTATACTTGAGCACATACTTCTTCACCAAACACTAGAAACGTTTGCTGACCATTACCCTCTGTTTATAAACATTCCTCTTACATGAACCTTTTCCCTTCACCAGATCCCCCACTTTGCCTCTTGATCTACCCCTGAGAGTAGTCACTGAAGTTTGTGTGATTTGTAACATGGACTCTTAGGCAAAGTTTGTTTGATAAATTGTGCTATTGTATTTTGTTTTTTTGTTTTGTTTTTTGATTTGATAGCTGTTCAGTTCTACTAACTTATCAGGTTCTAAATACTTACTGAACTTTATCTTTGAAAGGAAGTCTATTAATAATACTTTCCAGATGATTTTATAAATTTGGGGTTATTAAATAGGAAGTTCTTTCTTTTTTGTCTTGCCTCATTCCTTGTTCCCATCCTTAAACATTTCCCATAAACTTCATGTCTCTAGAATTTCATTGATTACTCTTTAAGTATAGCTTTTAAACATGATTTGCCTATCCATTCTCTTTCTTTCTTCTCAATTATTACCCAAATAAACATCTTGCTTGGTTTGTCCCAGTTTAGGTATTTGGGGTCATTTCCCCTCCTGCTTAAGTTAATTAAAATTAAATCATTATAGCTGGACTCGGTGGCTCAGCCTGTAATCCCACGCCTTTGGGAGGCTGAGGTGAGTGGATTGCCTGAGTCTGTGGGTTTGAGACCTTCCTGGACAGCGAGACCTCATCTCTACAATAAATAAAAAAATCGACCGGGTGTGGTAGTGTAGGCCTGTAGTTCCAGCTACGTGGAAGGCTGAGGCAGAAGGATCGCCAGAGCCCAGCAGGTCGAGGCTGCGGTGGCCGGGAGTGGCCACTGCACTCCAGTCTGGGCGATGGAGTGAGACTCCAACTCGAAAAAAAAAAAATTAAATCATTATAAACTCCACATTAATAAGTATAATTGAAACAACTAAGTCATTAAAAATAACAAGATATATGGCACTATTACTGGCTGTGTGACTTTAAGCAAGTCACATGGGTAAAATTTAGCTAATAACATTTTGCATGAAGTCAAGAGATTATCTTTAAGTTATAATTCATGATTTATTGGCAATGCTTGGATACAGTGGTTCTACCAGCTATGAATATATATACAACTAGTAGAGTAATTTTGTGTTCTCATCACCTGTTAATATATTACCATCTGCGCTAGGCCAAAAACAAAGGCCTTCCCTTATTTATTCTTGCTCTCTGTGTAAGAAGTTTGGCGCCAGTAATGACTCCACACCCGGCCAGGACCAAGAGAGTTATTAAAAGGGTTGTTACAGAGAAGATATGTAACGGAAAAACAGGAAAAAAAGAGAGAGAGAGAGAGAGTTGCAGGGAGAGGGCTGTATTTATCAGCATGACAGGGGCTGGAAGGGCCCGTGCTATGCTCCTATTGGAGGAGCTGCATGGGAGTAGGGTGGGGCCAATGCTGTGTTATGGTCCTATTGGATGCATAACAAGACTGGCTACTGATTGGAGGCTTGCAAGTTTGAAATTGAGGCGCTGGGAAGGTTTGAAATTGACGCGTTGGGGAAGTTTGAAATTGACGCGACCTGGAAATTGCTTGCAGAGGCCGGACTGAGGGCCTTTGTTGTCCTGTGTGTCGGCTCCATTTTGGGAGCCGCCCCTCTGGTCGCTTCCTGCACCTTTCATTCTGTGTGCTGTGTCACAAATAAGCCAATGAACCAAAGAGGAAAAAAAATAAACAATAGAAAAATCCTCAGGACCCATTTTCTTGTGCATAACATTCTTCAGATATCTCCATTCACCCTGAGAACCACGAGTTTCTCAAGCCCACAATAACTTATATTTTTTTTATTGGATGAAGGCTCTTAATTAGACCTGCAAGGAAACAAAAGATCATCTAGCCTAATGTCTTGCCACAAATTTATATATGGAAAAAAATATATATGGAAAAAATAAATAAAAACGAAGTTTAGAGCAGTTATATCATTTACCTAGCAAGAGACGAGCTTGTATAGCACTCACTTTTCTTGTTTCTTGACTTATTTCTACACTTGTGAGCAACTTAACCAAAAGTAAGATTTCCAATGTATAATAGATTTGCCTGAAATTACCAGTATAATCAAACCTTTCTTTAAGACCACAGTGTGTTAACCTTCTTGCTAAATTTCAAATATACTGGTAGATCAAGTAAGTCAATCAATTTGTATGAAATACCTTCTTCATTCGTCTCAAGTGGAAAGAAAATGGGATTTTAAAAAACTATCTGACGAAGATATTTTAACACTACTGCCATTTTCATAAAACTGCTTAGAAGATGGGGTATATAAGTAGGAATAAGAAGCCAGAACAATCAGCATGGTGTTCAGAAGACTAAGACTAGGGTGAATGGAGATATCTGAAGAATGTTATGCACAAGAAAATGGGTCCTAAGGATTTTGCTATTGTTTAGTTTTTTCCACTTTGGTTCATTGGCTTATCTGTGGTACAGCACAAAGAGAGCAAGAATAAATAAGGGAAAGCCTTTTTTTTTTTTTGGCCTAGCATAGATGGTAATATATTAACAGGTGATGAGAACAAAAAAAATTACTCCACTTTATTTTTTAAATTTTTTGACTGTCATCTTTTTTAATGTGGAAAGTAATCTTCAGACTGGGAAGGTATAGAGTGATGAGGGCAGTAGAGTGCAGTTATTATTATTATTTTTTGTTAATAAAAGGAACCTTGGAATTAAACATTAACTCGAACCCGGGTTCTTCTCTTAGAAGTATTGTGAGTTTGTGTAATTTATCTGCTCTGAGTCTCACTTGATTATAGCAGTAGTTCCATTCCTAGAAGGTTAAAAGTATTACATGAGATAATGCATACAAGGCACTCGGACACAGTAACAGTTCAACTGAAAGGTAATAGGGGACGGAAGCCCAAAATAGGCAATAAATAAATAAGAATTTAAATTAGACAATAATTTGAGTGTAGAAGAATTATATTCCAATATACTTGTTAGGTCAGAGTCTCAGTAGAACCTCTAAAAATGTTAGGTTGAAACTTTGTACAGTAACTTTTGAGAAGTCATGACAAATGAGAGATGTGCTAGATTGGTGCTTCAATTTTCATGAAGAAGGGAAAGAAGGATTCTCAAGATTAGGTAACTCTAACCAGTTAGTCAGACATTTTAATTCCCAAGGAAATTCCAGATGCAGTACGGACTATGAAACATGCAATTTTAAAAGGAAATTGTGATTGTTGAAACCAACATTTAACAAACATAAGTTATGCAGAAAGCAAGAATTCCTCTTTTATTTTGAGGGGTTGCAAGGCTAATAGAGAAATGCCATAAATAGTATATTTGCATCTCAAGAAAGTATGTGTCAAAGATTTCATGAACCTTTAATATACCAATGTGCATTATGAATAGAGAAAGCTACTGAATACAATACTTTCTAAATTATTTGACCACGGAAATTAGTCTTTGTTCTGCAAAAAGTGAAAGAACTTGGGGTGGGCAGAACCTTGGAAAACAATAGACTAAGACCAGATAGTAACAGTCTCTACTTAGGCACCCTTTGAGAAATTGTGTTTATTTTTAAACATCACTTTTTAAAGGAACCCAGCCAAGCTAGACTTCTTCCAAAGAGGGAGAGCAGAGTAACGGATTACATAAAGCCATATTGCAAAATAATAATCAGCAACTACGGAAAAGACACCGTGGTGAGTGAGGTTATCTTGAGTCAATTTCAAGTTTTTTAATGGGTGTGATATGAAGAGGGAATTGTATTCATTCTGTTTAGTTCAAGTAGTAAGAAATAGGGTTACTGTCTAGGAATTTCAGGGTGGCAGATTTTGGCTGAATATAGAGATTTTTGTGAGATCACTAGTCCCGGAATTTGACAGACTAGAATTCTCCACCAGCCTTGGCACTTAGATTTTCTTGACAAAATGACTCAGTCTCTCAGAAACCCCTGTCCCAGCTTCTGACACCTAGCTAATAGTGGTCATGTTTCCCCTTGGAGGCTTATTTGGAAAAGACTTCTTAAGGTACAACAAATCAATTAGCATTGGAAGAAATGCAGCAGATAAGGTTAAAGTTCAAGTGCTAGGGGATGTGAAGGCACAAAACTTTCCTTTAGAAAGCTCAAAGGCAGATATGACAGTCTTTTGTCAAAGATTGCAGCAGCCAGAGGTTTCTGAAAGTGGTATGTAGCCTTTTGCTATCCTGTTTATCCCTGTGTTTGTCGCCTTAAACAGCCACTTTCCTACTTGGAACTTACTTTTGGCAACTGCTGGCAAAACAGGAAGTGATTTGAATAAAGTCTGTATTTATGACTTTGTGAACTTCAGTTTTTTGTTTGTTTGTTTGTTTGTTAGTTTTGAGTTGGAGTCTCACTCTGTTCAGTTTTAAAGCACGTTTTAGCAGTGGATTTGCTGTCCTGCCTTAGAACCTCTATTTCTTATAAAACAACTGTGTAGGGGTTAAAGTATCAGTGCAAAGTCCTGTGCAAATACTGACTCAGTAATGAGCTCTGTACACCAGCCTTTGGTTCATGTTAAATACAAAGCAAGCATAGTGGTTTTTTTTTTTTTTTGGATAGAAACTGATGGGGGTGGGGAGAGAAAGAGGGAACTGGGAAGAGAAAGAAGGGAAGTTAAATCTTGCTGCCCTCCCTGTCTTCCTGACAGAAAACCAAACATGGCATCTTCCATGAGGAGCTTGTTTTCTGACCACAGCAGATACGTTGAATCTTTTCGGAGGTTTCTCAGCCATTCCACGGAACACCAGTGCATGCAGGAATTCATGGACAAGAAGCTGCCAGGCATAATAGCAAGGTAACAAAAGGGACGTTTTTGTCAAAGGGACAAGCCTCAGACTCTCTGTGCGTCAGTGATAGATGGGTCGAGCTCAGCCTTGCAGGCTGGGCTCCGGGATAAGGGCGAGTTGCTGATAGCAGCTCCCCTACGCCCCTCCTCGGCCCCTCCTCGTTGCCCTGCCTTGCCTTTCTCCTGCAGTGCTTTGGTTTCACGTTTGCTTTAAACACTCAAAGGCTCCGATTTGTGGTGTATTTCCAGCAGCACAGAGATAAGGCTTAACCATTTGAAGGCACAAATCCATGTTCATTTGGGAGAAGATAAGATGCTAATCTCTAACTCAGATTTTTCAGCCCTCCTTCAAATTTTACATCTCAAAAAAGTCTCCAAGGGAGTCTGGCATGCTTTTCATTAGGAGCAAATATAAATAATTGCCAAATACTATTTGCCCCTGTAGATTGAGTGAGTGCCTTTCAGTTCTCATAATATCCGTTTAAATTCATTTTCTTTGTCCATTATTGTAGTTGTCACTCTCCCCCTTCCCAAAATTGTATTTTTCTTTCAACTTAATATTAGCAATGTGTCCCTGGGAAAAAAGAGCATTTTCCCATTATCACTGAAACTCACTAGTTTCTGTCCTTCTTGCAGATGCCTTTTTTTTTTTTTGATGATTAATGTGTTCAATTTGTGCCAGAACTGATAAGCATTATGAGAGTAACAGATTCCACATGCTAAAGATAATCAGATCACCTTTCTGGGGGTGAATTGCTGCAACTCATTCTGCTTCAGAAAATAATGATGGAAAACTGGTAAGAAATGACTGACTGTAGTTCCAATGTTCAAATAGCAAAAAACCTTGATATTCTATGTTTTGTTGGATTTTTCTATTGTAGGCCTGATATATATATATATATATATTTAACCAGGGCCATACTTCTGTCTGACCAGAGCCGGCATTGTTGGATATATTTGAAATTTCATTTCCCTTTCTATTCTACATGGTTCTGATTTTAAACACTAGTCTCTAAAATATTGAGTATTGTATAGTATACTTCTACTAATAAATATGCAACAGAATAAAGATGCAAAAATCAAAGCAAATAGCAAATACAGACAACTTTTTGTTTAGGAACTCATTATAGCTTACTTCTTTGGGTCTTTTTGCTCATTTCTAAAATTGAAGGGAACGAGTTAATTCCTCACTTCTTTTCCAGTATTAGAAGGTTGTGTTCATGTCTATAACTTAGCCAGATCCTTGGTTTTCTTCAGCCATGGAGTTTGGTTTGAAGACATACCGTGAATGGATATAAAATAGCGAATGATGGATGACTCCTTTTCTGTCTTTAAGTTTGTACAATTTAATAGGAAATATTAAATGTAAAATTTGTGAAGCTCTGAAGAATTTTTAAAGGCATACTAAGTTTGCAATTATCATAGTAATGTATAAAAAATGATATGAATCAAAGTGTCATTTATTAAGAAATTTTTCCTGAAGGTAATGCTTGAAATGAGATTTAGCTGAAGAGCCTTTAAACTGTTGCTTAACATTGTCTGTAAGTTAGGAAGACTGAAAAGCAATTCATATTCTCTTTGTGTAAGAGCAGAGTTTGCTGAGTGGGTAGCTCATAGTAAATGGGTGTGGACTCATCTGTAAATTAGGTGTGGACTCAGCTTACTTTTTTATTTTCTTAAAGCAAGACGTGCTTATATTTTAAAGTCAAATGGTTTCTAAAACACCTATAATAACAACAACAGTAACAACAAAAATAGTAATCCCTTGCCCTACCCGTTCCATTTCTTTCAACACTTTGGAATATTTTAGCTGCTTTTCATAAAATTTTCTTTCATAGTTCTAAATAGCATGTTATTCTTCTGTTTCTTCATTTTGCTGTATTAAAAAAGTTATATAAACATACATAATTCCCACCCTATCATATCACTGTATTTATGTCAAAATTTGGGTTAAACAACTTGAGGGTTTATATTATTTTGTCCATGTACATATCATTCATAATTGAACAACTTACATTTCCTTTCATGTATAGCTTTTCAGTTTCTCTAGAGTTGACTATTGCCTTGATTTTTAGTTTCTTTTCTTAGTTTTCTATTGCCTGTTACTATTTTGACCCTCAAGCAGATATAGTAATCTTCTCTTACTATATTCAAGCATATCAAGAAAACTGTTCATTTATTTTCCCACCAAAATATCTTTTCTGAAGCCCTCTATTTGTTTGATTATTTTTTTAATACAGTCTGGGAAGATTTTTGGCCTGCTGAACTATTAATGAGATAATTTATTTCAGTTTCTGGAAATTCTCTTCTTCCTTCTGTATTTGATTCCCTGATATTCTGCATTTCATGCCGTTCATTTCTTGGTTTCCTCGGCCTTTATTTATTTTGTTTTGTCTTTTGAACCAACTCTTTATGAGTTTTAAGGTTTACTGGGAGGTAAACTTTTTGAGACTTTGTATGTTTTAAAATACCTTCTTTCAATACGCATACTAGTTAGACAGTTTGACTGGATATAGAACTCTGTGCTGAAAATGATTTTGTATCATAGATTTAAAGGTACTTTTCCAATGTCTTTTAGCTATTAGAGTTGCTGTTAAGAAATCAAATGTCATTCAAATTCCTCATCTTTGGCTTGTGACATTTACATTGTTATTTGTTTTGTTTGATCTCCCCTCATTTGAAGTTTTTAAGATCTTCTCCTTATTGCTAATATTCTGAAATTTTAAAATACCAAGTTATGGGGTGGGTCTTTTTTTTTTTCACCCATTTTGTGAATATTCCCAGGGTCATTTTAATTGAGATTTATATGCTTAAGTTCTGGGAAACTTTGGTATTAGTTAATCATTCCTCTCCTCTCTTTCCTTTTTCTGGAATCTTTATTCATCAAATGCCAGGCCTCCTGGATTGATTCCCTAATTTTCTTCTACTGCCAGTTTGTTACAACTTTATCTTTTTTTTTTTTTGAGTTGGAGTCTCACTCTGTCACCAAGACTGAAGTGCAGTGGCCGCTCCCAGCCACTGCAGCCTCGGCCTGCTGGGCTCCGGTGATCCTTCCACCTCAACCTTCCGAGTAGCTGGAACTGTAGGCACACGCTACTACGCCCGGCTGATTTTTTGATTTATTGTAGAGATGAGGTCTCGCCAAGTTGCCCAGGCGGGTCTTGAACCCGCAGGCTCAGGCAATCCACTCACCTCAACCTCCCAAGGCACAGGATTACAGGCTGAGCCACTGAGCCCGGCTACAACTTTATCTTTTAGCTTATCTATTAATGTTTAACTATTATATTTTTAATTTCCAATAATGTTCCTTTTTTATAGAACCTTTTTTATCATTTCCAGATGTAATACCTTTTCTTTTCTATTAAAAAATGTCTCTCTGCTCTTTGCATGTGTTTTCTGAGTTCTTGTTTTCTGTTCAACTTAGTCTGATTCTTATGTGAGGGAAGCTTCCTAAGTGCCTGATGAGCCTTGGTCATCCATCCATTCAAATAACGAGGCACTAAAAAGTTGATCCTCTTTGGGTTGTAGGGGCAGGGTTCGCTCAGCAAGTAGTTCATTGTATAATTGAGTGAAGACTTAGCTTTTTCTGGGAGATTCTCCAGATGTCACTGATAAACAGTAAGTTTATCACTGAAATGATTTGTTTCCCCACAAAAAAATTCTTCATGTATTCTTCCACCAATATGTAGGTGGAAGGTTGGCTAGGGGTTGGAAGAGGTTATGGTATATAGCTATAAATAGTAAAGTTTGTTATTGTTGTGGTATATGCAAAGCATTTACATCCTTGTTGAAAAATAGTGTTTTTAATATTATTAGTTATCATTATAATATATGAAATGAGAGTAATACTAATTTCTAACTCATATAGGAGTTGTGAGGATGCAGTTAGTTCACATAAACCACTTAATTATGCCTAGAATGGTAATAATTGCTAACATATGTTGAGTGCTTGTCACGTGGAGATACAATTTCTAAAAGATTTGCATGAATTAAATTATTGAATCCTCACAATGACTCTATGAGTTAGATACAATTATTGACAATCCTGTAAGGTAGGTGGTATCATTATTTTATTTCGCAGAGATGTCAAATAATGCACAAGGTAACATACCATTAAACTGGGATTTCAGCCTAGATGCTCTGCTCTGCAGTCCCACTATGCTAGATATAAGCAATTGAAAAATGAACAAAAGATATCATTAGAAATGGATGTATTAGGACTCAGGATTATGAGCTGGAAGATAATTAGAACTGAGGGAGACAACTCATGTATATGTATTCTTGACTCTAGCCTTTCCAGCTTCCTGTAGAACCCTGCTTTGACCTGTGTTTTCATCCTGTTACTCTTTGTGGCTCTTTCAATGTAGTCAAAACACAGACTTGTTCACCATCTCACAGTCCAAACACACACAACCCTCTTTTCCACCCACAGTTCCCTTCTATTCTAGCAGTCATCTCGTTTCCTTCTCTCTCTTTCATTCTGTTTCAATGGTCTTTAGAACTGTTTTCTCTCTTTTTTGGCTTTGCTCTTGAATCCCATTGTCATCTGACTGGTCCTCAACCTTTTTTTAAAACTGCTGTTATCAAAGACATTCATATTGTCAACTTGATGGAGTTTTTTTCTTCAGTGTGTCCCTTGCTGCTTTTGCCTCGACTGATGGCCCTCTATGTCTTCATTCTTCTAGCACCTCTCTGTGCTTTATTCCTTTCCTTCTTGTTTCCTTTGTGTATTCCTCACAATCCAGTGACCTTGAAAAGTTGGAATTGCATTGTCATCCACCACTCTTCCAATTCTTTGCAATATCTTTGAGTGGTGGAATCTATTCTCCTAATATTGACCATTTCTTTATGATGATAATTCTCTAACATACATCATTGTTCCTGATCGCTCTCCTATCTAGCTTAAATCTTGCATATCCAAATGTCTGCTGATTCCGATTTATTTTTTAAAAACTGACAAAAAACAAATTTGCTGCCAAACTGTATTATTCAACTTCCTTTTTGACACCACCTTTTGCCCAGTCATCCAAGCTGGAAACAGGGCAGTTATTATGTACTCACATTTTTTTCTGACCTCTTCATGTCATTCTAAAAGCAAGTCCTACCGACTTATTTCCCAATCCATCTACTCCACTCTATTTCCAGGACTAGTGCCATAATTCAGGGCTTTATTATCTCACATTTCAACTTGAAAACAAAGTGGTATCTTATCTATTTCTATAAACTCAGTGCCTAGGATGGGCACATAATAAGTGTTTAATAATCATTTGCTTATTAAAAGGATGGTAGAAAGAAGTAAGGAGAGAAAACAGACCACCTTAGCCTTTCCCTCATATATACAATTAATGGTTTATTATATCATCAGACTCAAAGGTCTACTTTTTCTGTTCTTATTCTCCAAGCAATCTCAAAACAAAAAAACAAACAAAAAACAACAACAGCAAAAAACTTGTTTTCTACCTCTGAGAGGTTCTTGTTGTTTCTAAGTCTCCCAGTGGAATACAACCGATATTTTAAAATATGTTCTAAAGATAGCAATATAACTACTGATATGATTGGGACCTTTCATCCTGGTTTAGTTTTTGTTCATTGTATTTTTAGTATGTTCTCTTCAACTAGACTAAATAATCAGATTTTACAAAGCATATAACACATTTTTCTTAAACTGCTTTTTTCTTTTTTTTTCAGGATTGGAGACACAAAACCAGAAATTAAGATTCTGAGCATAGGCGGAGGGGCAGGTATGAATAACACATTTTTATAATTTGTATTTCATTTCAAACATCATACTGTGTGATGGCAATATTGTTCATTTTTTAGAAAAGCTATTTTCCTTTGCTTTTGGAAGAGATCAGCTTATTAAAACTAGTAATACCTCTTCAACTAAGATTAATAACTCCATATATTTATAAGATTTAGGACATTAGCCTTTATTACTATCTGTAATGCAAAATAAGAGGTGTGACTTTCTTATTCTTTTGATAAATGAAAAAACAAATAGTATAACTTTGAAGATAACTTTTATCCAAAATGATTTAAATGCTCACAGAAAGGGAAAATTTCCTAAGAAGCTTGTGCTACTTAAAGTATGGTCCATGGACTGGTTACTGGTTTGAAAACTGTTATTGGTCTATGTGGAGATTAGAAATCTGCATTGGAATGTAAATTGATGCACAAGTCTCTTCACTAAGAAAGTCTCACTATGGGAAAAAATAATATGTTTAATGACATTGCTAATTTACACTACCGTGAACCCATTCTTTGAATGACCCTGGCCTAAACCATTGCCTTCCTCTGACTGAGTTCCAAAACTGCCCTCTATGCATTCAAAATACTTTTAACCCCCACTTCGTAAGCATGTCCTGATCTCATTACTCTTAGAGCCACTGCTTTTCATTCTAGGGGAAAATGGAAAGTCTGAAAAAGATGGTTGACATGGGTGACTCTATCCCAAATAACTGTGTGATCTTGGCTAAAACATCAGTAAAATGAGAGTAATGAATTTTATGTCATAGGATTGTTGTGAGAATGATATAGATAACAGTTAAAAAGTGCTTAGAACATTGTTATTGCTTCTAGAAGGGGAAGGCTTTTCCCTTCTGCAAATATACAAGTTTCATGTCAAGATTTTGCCTCATGTCAAACTCCCGAATAGTGATTACATTATTTTCAAGTTGCTAGTCATCTGGAAGTTTGAGTTAATACATGAATATGTAAATATATGTCTTTATTTAGTTATTATTTTCTTTTGTCAGAAGGGACTTAGTATTAATAACAGTTATCACTTGGTATGTACCAAGTGGTAATCTCTTGAGTCTTTTAAATATACATATATCTAATATAATTTCTAGTGTGCAATGAGCGAGTTGACTTGTGGCTCATATTAACACAAAGATAACCAAGAGTCCTCTAATGAAATGGGATAACCAGTTTTTAAAGTCTTGATTTATTCATTTTTAATAAAATACACAGTAGTATAGTGTAATAAGGACTAATCCTTGAAATCAGTTTGCTTTATTATCATATTTCACCCAAAAAATAGAAACCAACAAAGACACATAATGAAGGGTTTTATCACGAACAATACAGTGCGTGTTTAAGCTAAAATACTTTATTATTGTTTACAGATACCTTAAGCTCCCCCAAATTATAAAAGTGATGAATTGCCCAAGAGTTTCCTATTAATTCATTTAACCAACAGTCCTTTTTAGTGTATTTTGCATATGAGTTTCAGGCAACAAACAGGCAATGAGACTATAATTTGATAGTGTCACTTGTGCTTGGACAAAAAGAGAAGCCCTATAAGAAAAAGTAATTAAAAACAATCTCTATCATGGCCAATTTAATTGACCTTTTAATATAAAGTTAATTGAATTTCTAAAGCAAATTTATCCAGATGCTTATAAGCTATCTGGAGAAAGGAACATTTGGCCCGCACAGTGATTCCTTACATAAAGGAACACATAGAAGCTAATATACAGAACTTATCAAAATAAAGGGAACAACTCTGGAGTTCTTCTGACTGAGCCCTAACATTGCGTTAATAACAAGCTCTGCCTTGGGGGAGAATGTGGGTGCCCTTTAAGGTCATTCTTTGTAAGAAATCAATCAGAAATGTAAGAACTCCAAGAAATAGTTAAGCTATGGATACTTAACTTTTACTACTCAAGTAAGTTATAGGAAAGCAAAATCAATGCATTTAAAATCCCTAGGTTTAGGTGCCCCTAGCTTGAAAGAGCAGCATTTTTAGGGGAGAGCACGTTCTCCTTCAGTTGGAGTGCTCATCTAGCATCTGGGAGATGGTCATCTAATAACCTGTGATAGCCTACTGCAAGCATCATACGAAAGTACAATATATGACAGAGAGGAACTTCTATGCTCATCTTAGAGAAACAGTCCCACCACATGTGTTATGATCTACAGTATGCCTGTGCCTTGAGTATCCTTCCAAATCAGTCATTAAACTCCAGTCCCTGGCAAATGAGGCTATTGGTCCTGTCCCATCTTTGCACGTGGCTCCCATAATGCATCTCATAAGGTCCCACTTCTGTCTTAATTTACCAGCCTTTCTGGTTTGACTTCCTAGATGTTTCTCTTCTTGGTTGCCCAGACACCTGCAGATCATTTTCTGCCATGTCTTTGGTATAAATATTCTCTCTGCATTCATAACGATGCTCTCACTTCTCCCACCACAATTGAAAAATATACCAAAGCAAACACATCGAAAGCTTCCCTGAATGAAATTGCTGTTTTTATAGCATTTAGCGTTCATGTTCTTTGGGGCCCAATTTTCTTTTCTTTTCAGAAACATGAGCCAGGAAGGGGCACATATGGCCCCATCAGCCTGTCTTCTTTAGAGGCTTGTGTTTGCTAGGAGTGAGTTACCATAGTTTAAGAGAGAATGTAAGGTTTTGGAAAAGGTGTTTGTCACTTGAGTTTAGCAATTATTAGGACTCTGAACAATTAAAAGCAAACAAACAAAAGGAAAATCAATGGCAAACTCTTTGGTGTAGTATAAGTCATCTACTACATCAGTAAAGAACAACTAATAAGCAGCACTGTTATCCATAGATTCTACATTCTAATGTTAGGAAAATATGTGAAATAAATGTTACATGAACCCAATGGAAAGAAAGGAAGTTAGGAGGGAAACAAGACAAAACAGAAACACAGACCCTGTAGCTTTTACAAAGTCTGAACTAAGAATTATAAGCTATGTATGGTTGTATGCACATGTGCATGAGTTTGTGAGCTTTCATGAAGCACAAGGAGCAGCCAGGATTGCTTTATTCATGGTCTCGAAGTATTTATATCATGTTAATTTCAGTAATTGTTTTTAGGTTTTGAGAGTCATGCATTATATTCTAAATCTCATAGTTTTTGGTTCATCTTCAACATTGATGCTTCCTAAAATTAAACCACTCAATGGAGCTTCATTATTATTCAGCTTTTCACAAGTGTTGCCTTTGTGCTAGATGGTACTTGGGAAATAAGAAAGCCATATTCTTTTTAGTAAGAGAGAATGCTATTAATTTATAGTGCATATATTTATGCCTGAAAAAAATGTTCCAGAAAGCAGTAATGGGCAATGTGTTCTCCTTGCTCTGGGCTCTGCTTAAAGGAGAATAATTTTATCTGTCCCACTGTTTAGTTCTTATGTTCAAATGCCAGAAAATCTTATAAAGGTTAGATGGGACTCTAACTAAAATAATCATATTTAATCCAGCTAATTGCCCATTACTGCTTTCTGGAACATTTTTTCAGGCATAAATATATTCACTGTACATTAATAGCATTCTCTCTTACCAAAAAGAATATGGCTTTCTTATTTTCCAAGTACCATCTAGCACAGAGACAACACTTATTAAAAGTTGAGTAATAATAAAGCTCCATTGTGTGGTTTAATTTTAGGAAGCATCAGCATATACAAACTCAATTGCTATGCCATATAGAATATAATTATATATATGTTTATAGATAATTTTTTCATTCAATCAAGCAACTCACATATGAAGCAGAAGTGTTATCAGCACTCTCATAATTTTTGGGGAGGTAATAATTTTGCTGCCATATGTTGAGAGCAGTTGGGTGGTTTTCTTGTTCTGCAGCATGTAATCATAGCATTCCTAGGGAGACTGAAAAATAAAAGAACATTTAGAGACCATCAACATTCTCTTTACAAATTAGAAATCTGAGGACCATCAAGGCAGAACAAAACTGAGTTCTCTTGAACTGAGTTTAGTACAATCCAGCAAATTGTACTAAACAGATTTAGTAGTTAATTATTTACTTGGCAAAGGAGAGATTATGTCCTTTGCAATGAATAGCTATTTGAAAATCTAATCTTATCAGATTATTAATCTTGTCTCCTTTCATAAATGACATGTTAAGGTGACACAGAAGTTTAATACTTTAAGCTAGTTGGACAGCAGTATAATGAATATAATTAGAGTGGGAAGCGGTAGGGCCATTGTGTCAGGCTTAGAAACCAGGAGGTGGCAGGAAGCAAAGGTTAATGCTTTCCAATGATCCAGAGTAAACCAACAGAGCAGATCAACAAATTAAGAATGTCTGAGAAAATATAGGAAACTTAAATTTTCCTTAAATTTTGAATTTGAATGTGCTTATTGCCGTCTTCAGATATTTCGTGTTAAACAAACTACAGAATATTTGCCCACATAAAACCAATGACTGAAAGATCCAGAGTGATTTCTTACCTCATTATAAGAACTTGTCAATGATTAAACCTGTCCATAAATGGAAATTAACTTCCATTTCTTGGGAGATAAAGTGTTATCTGCCAGTCTAAGAGTGTCAGCATAGGTTGGAAAAATACTTCAGATATGTTAGGGAAGGGACTCAGACACTGATTTCTTGGGTGTGAGACATTAAAAGTGCTTTCAGTACTGAAATCTATGGTTTTATGAGTAATATTCTAGAAAAAAGTAGGATTGTCTTCAGAGTGGAGTGGTTACCACCATGTTTGTTGTATTGAGGAAGTGAAATTCTAATAGGGCTTCTAGACATGCAGGCAATTTTTAGATTGGATTTTAATTATTTTTAACTTAAAATGAGTAAGAACTAGTTTGCTCATGTTACTACATTATTAGAAGGACACAGACTCTAATGATAAACTAATCTACAGGATTTAGGACTGTCATTAGATAGTCTTTTGAAGTTTAAATAACCATAGTTTGAAGCCTATGCTGTTAAAGGCATTTTCAACTATATAGTGAAAAAA